CCCCCGCCAGGGGGTGTCCACACAGCCACCGTCTGGGGACACACAAGGTCTGGGGCCTGTCCAGGAGGCCCTCAGGGGCCTCCAAAGCCCCCTGACCCCGCTCACCTCTGAAACTGCCCTCCTGGGGGGTGGGGGCGTGTGCCCCCCGTGTGTGTCCATTGACCTGGGCTTTCATCTGCGACCTCCGGACGAGGCCCCAGGATGATGTCAGCCCGACTGATGCACCAGCTGCAGCCCTGTGTCACTCGAGGACAGGTGCCTTTCCCTCATGGGTGCTTAAGGGCTGTTCGTGTGAGCGGCACCCCGCGCCCCCTTCAGGGAGCGGCCAGCTGTAGACGGACAGAGCTGGGCGGACCCTGCTGCGGAAGCCGGGCCTGCAAAGCAGGGGCTGCCTCAGCTCTGAGCTCCCAGCAGACAAGCTTGGGACAGATCCCCCGCCGCCAGCCCCACTTAGTGAGGTCGGGTGTGGCCAGGAGCAGAGAGGGCCTTGAAGCCCCCGGCCCCTGGCATCGACCCCGGAGATCTCAGGAAGCCGTCCCTTCCCTGGGATGCTGGGGGGTGGCTTTGGAGGGCCTCCCTCCCCAACCCCGTCGGGCCCCTTCCGGGGCGGCCGGGAAGAGGACTCTTGGTCGTACGTATCTAGACCACTGGCCTTGGATGCGCAAGGCCCGCCCGGGCTCCTGCCGGCACACGGCTTGCTGCCATGGCGACCGGCGCGTGTACCAGGCCGGGTGCCCGGGCAATGCGGATGCTGGTGGCGTGAGCTGGCACAGGCCCCGTGTGTGTACAGGCCGGGGGAGGGGGTGGGTCCCCACTTCGGCTGGCCTGGAGCCCTGGAAATCGGGAAACGGCCCAGGACGGAGACCGGGGCAGCCCTACCACCTGAGGGACCTCCACTGGCCACACCTGTCCCGGACCCGGGTCTCGGGTCCCTTGCTAGAGCAAGGCCGGTTGTGCCCTCCCCGCAGGGCAGTGAGTCTCTGGGAATGCCTTCCAGGAAATCCCCGGCGCCCCACCGGCTCTCCAGTGCCCCCGCCTCAGCCTCGGGACAGTTGCTGCTCTGGTTAGAGTTCCCGTCCTACTCGGTTCCGGGCACCGTGCCCTCCGGGGGCCAGGCCACTCCGCCAGGCCCCCTTCTGGTGCCGGCCTCCCCAGGCGAGGCGAGGCGAGGGCTATCCCGCTGGCCTCGAGACTGC